TGGGTCAGGGTGGTCGTGACCGCTGAGTATCCTGCCGCCAGTGGGGCAGATTCTGACATGGATGTTGAGAGCTCAGACACTCAGCCTTGGCTTCTACCTCTGACCCAGTCCTGCCTTCCCTGGTGAATGAACCAAGCCTCCCGCATCCGCCCACCCGACTCCGGGCCTGACTGGGGAAGCAGAGCCGGTGAACTGCAGTTTTGTTAAAGGAACATTGTCTTGAAACTCCGGGAGTATGTGGGATCTGGGCAGCATTCCCTTGGCCCCTGTCACTGCTCAGTCCGGGGCTTCACATCCAGCCTGGCGTGGATTTGCTGAGGGCTTTCACCCAGCAGGCTTTGCACATCACAGGCGAAACGATAGACGTAGCGCTTGCCTGCTGTCTTCTGGATGATGTCCCTGTGATAATAGTAGCGAAGGCCCCTGCTCAGGTTCTCGTAGTTCATTTTCGGTTTGTTCTTGCGGTTTCCCCACCGCTTGGCAACCTGAGGTGGGGGGTCGGGGGCAGGGAGTGCAGCAGTGTTACCGGTTAGTTCTGGCGGAAATCGTCACCGCCGCCACCCAGTCCTGACTCAGTAGGGGCAAGGAGCAAGACATTCGGCCCAACCAGCCTGCTTCATCATTTGGTTCCACTGGATGCTCCATCACTTTTCATGCCTTTTACCCTCTCCCACCCCTCACCATCCCTCCTCAGGTGGGGACGGTATTTACCCCTCAGCCTTTCTGATCACCCACAGTGAAGATTGCGTGAGGAGGTGACTATGCTAAAGTGGGATCTTGCTGTGCGCAGTTTGGCTTGTGCCTTTCCTGCATTGTGACAGTGACGGTGTTCCATTCAAGGGGTCCTGGGCTGGGTACTGGTCTCCTGCCACCACCAACACTGCGCCCCCACCCACCCCCCTCCACACACACAGACACACTCACATACCCCTCCCTTCCCCAGCAGCACCCCCCACCCCAATAACCCACAGCGAGATAGCAGATGGTCTGGTAGACAGGTCGAACCACCTCACCTCATTCGGGTCGGAGAGTTTGAACTCCCAGCCGTCTCCTGTCCAGGTGATGAAGGACTGGCATGATTTATCCAGGAGCAGCTCCAGGAGAAACTGCCAGAGTTGGATGGGCCCATTGCCTGTGGGTGGAGGGGATAGAGATTAGTCAGAGTTATGACAGAATAGGTGGAGGCTATTCAACCTGGTGACTCTTCACCTCCTGCATATCAGTCAGGGCCTTTCCTCACACC